TTATTTTTTTAATTTTTTTCCTAATATATATATTTTACCCATTATTTTTTACAAAAAATTATTTTTTAATTCTTTTTTCTTTTTTCTACGTCTTTTTAACATTTTTAAAATACATTTTTTTAATAACAAAATTTATATTATATAAAAAAAAATCATATTTTTAAAATGTGGAAGGAGCTCATAGTGACATTAATAAAATCGCTGCAGCCTGTAGCGATTTTTACTAGCTAAATTTAAGTCGTTTGTAGTTATAAAAAAAAATACACGTGGCATTAATGTCGCTATAGGCCATAGCGACACTGTAGTAAACTACCCCAAAGGTATAAATAGTTTCAAATCAGTCCCATTTACGTAATTAGTTTTAAAAACCACTCCAAATTGATCGATCAGCCTAAATTTTAAATACTCTCATTTAATATTTTTAATTATAGAAGTTATAAAGTAAGAATAAATTTTTTAAAAAATGTGCAAAAAATTAATTAATATTACTTTTTTAGGGGATTAATTAAAATTACTTAAAAATGTATAAAACTAAGCAAATTATAATATGAAGAAGGGATTAGATTAATGGAGCTCAAAAACCAAAGTGGATGATGGATGATGGATCATGTGAGGGAGCCGGGAGCGTAAAGGAAGAGAAGCGAATCCTATGAAATCGAATATAACTTATATTCTTCTCTTCACATTCACTCATAACTAAGAAACAAGGACCCACCATCTGAGTCATCGCTTCTGTCTAGTCTGTATCAGAATCATTCCTAAGCATACAAAGATATGCTACTGTACTTTAAAGGGGTCTTTCATTATCATATATTTTTACAGTTTAACCAATGCCTAAAATTTATCTTTCTTCTTATTTTCTCTTTAATTTTATTTACCAATTTCATTTATTCTTAATGAATTCTCACTAGTTTCAAAATGATTTTATTTTATTTTAGATATACTAGTTTTTTACTATAGCAGTCAAAGTACTTTGTGAATTTAGAAAGTATGGTAAAGTAAGGTTTAATTGCATTTTGGTTTAGGTGGTTTTAATAATTTTACCTTTTAAGTTAAAATATATCGTATTAGTTTTTGTATATATATATATATATATATATTTAAGTTTATATAATCACATAAATTTTTTCTTTTAATCAAGTAATAATATAATTATATAAATTTATAGTTTCTATAATTACATAAACTATCTATTTTAATTTTTATAAAAATAGATGAAAAAACAAAGAGAACAAAAAATTTATATAAAAATTAAAATAACATATTTTTAACTATAAATATTAAAAAGTAAAATTTATAAAATTATATAAACTAAAAAATTAATTAAATTTAAGGATAAAAAATAAATTTTTTTTAGACGAATCATAATAGATTAGATTAAAACAATTTAAGTAATCTATTTAGATTTATTAAAAAAATATTTGAGAATTTGAGCCTAAACTGTTCTACTCTCACAAAAATACTAGATTTTTCTAATTTAAGTGGCAAAATATGAGGAACCATGTTATAAATTGGTATCTAAATTGGTTGTTGATCTAGTCAATGTAAAAAGATTGTGTTGGTTTAATAAGTTCAACCCACTTAAATTACTCACTTTTGTTGTAGAGTATTTCTATAGGTGAATGCGTGATGATGCATGTAGTTGAGATATTATGCATATGGTTGTATTAATTGTAGTATTGTTCATATGCTTTGTTAACTATATTGTTGAATGACATTAATGTGGTGAAATATGGAATTATCGCATGTTGTTAAGCTGCTTACCTTGGTAAGGTGTGGAATGCCGTGTTGAGTTGTTTTGTTGTGATGTTAAGTTGTAGATCATGAGGTGTATGTGGTGTAGTTTACATGTTGGTGATTGTTGTGTAATGATTTTACTTTTATACATGTATATGTTCATTCTTTTGATTACCCTTGCATGTTTTTTTGTGGTTGAATTGCGATAATTATGTTTACATGTGAGCGGCATAGAAATATGTTGGAGGAGCTCAACATGTTATGAGCCATGTTGTTGGCGGTGTAGCTTGATACTACCTTTAATGGTGGTTTTGTAGTGTTATTTAACCAACTACGTTATAGTTACAATTTCTATTAGATTATTGTATATATTTATATGTGTATCGAATGTGTTATAGTTTGATTGTTGAACCTTTACACTTTCAAATTAGTTTTATCCTTATGCATATATTATATTACTAATCATGTACCAAGAACTATTTGTATGATAGATGTATTTGTTTTTCATTGTTAATAGTTGATCTGTTAAATGTAAGAATTGTGCGGGGTCATTACACAATGTTAATAATGATATAATACTAAGATGTCATGACAATAAAAATTTAATAATATTTTAGTTAAATTTCACTTTTAATTCTTGACATAAAAGTAATAAAATAAGATATAAATGATAACTAAAAGTGTAATTTAGTTTAAATATTATAAAATAGGTTAAATATCTCTTTTGGTCCCTTACAATGTTTTTTGTTTCAATTTAGTCCCACTTTAATTTTTGGTCTCAATTTGGTCCTCAATAATTTAAATCGTTGCAATTTGGGACTTCCGTCTAAATGATTTAAACGGAGTTAACTGGTGACCACGTGGATGCCAGGTGGATGCTACGTAGGTGGATCTAAAAATACTTGAATACACCTGGAACCAGAACGGTCCGTTCTGAAACCAGAACGGCCCGTTCTGGTTACACTATTGGTGTGTAAATTTTGCACCTGGAACAGCCCGTTCCATGTCCAAAATTAACGCACCAACAGTGTAACTAGAACGGGCCATTCTAGTTTCAGAACGGGCCGTTCTGGTCCAGAATTTTGTGCACAAAAAAACTAAAATACAAAGCATTTCAAACACTAGATTTGGTAATATTGTTAATGAGGATTAATAACTTCAATTGCTAAATATTTGGGCTATACAGTATATCATTAAGGATGATGCAATATATCACTAAGGACAATGGTAACAAGTTTTATTTAATTGTTAGTCAAACTGGAGTGAACCACTTACTACCAAATTGACACTATACAATCAAGGATAAAACGAAACAGTGTTTTTCTTTGAAGTCATTGACGATCTACCGCAACAATAACAACTTGTTCTTGAGGAGTTACCCCTAAACCCTGAATTTTATTTTCAATTTTTGAAATACATTGCGGCATTTTAGTCGAGATTTTGAACTGGATAAATTCAAATCAAAGAAATATTTTGGAAGATCTTATCTTATTTGATTTTTTTTTTATAGTTTTATTCATAAATGAATAAATTTATTGTATTTTTTATTTATTATATATTTATTAATATAGATATAATAAAAAAAACAATAAAAAGCATGGCGGTTCTAAAACCAGAACGGCCCGTTCTGGTTTCAGAACGGGCCGTTTTGGTTTTAGGTTTTTTTTCGGAATTTTGGTGTCCACGTGGCAACAATTAACTCCGTCTAAATTATTTGGACGGAAGTCCCAAATTGCAACAATTTAAATTATTGGGGACCAAATTGAGACCAAAAATTAAAGTGGGACTAAATTGAAACAAAAAAACATTGTAAGGGACCAAAAGAGATATTTAACCTATAAAATATTAACAATTGTGTCATGACATGATGTTTTTTTTTTGTCCGTCCCTGGAGTATCCAGGGCCGACAGCTGGCCCCAAGATTTAATGCGACTGCATACACAAGGCAGGATTCGAACCCCTGACCTTGCTTAAGCGTGGATCAACCCCTAACGCTGAACCACACGCTTGGGTTGTCATGACATGATGTTAAATCATAACTAATGTTATAATTTTAACGATAAATGGATAAATGTTCAACAAGAAAACCAAAATAATAAATTTTATAAAATTGAAAAACTAAAATTATAAATTTAAAAATACAAGAAAAAAATTATAAATTTAATATTATAAGAGAATTAAAAAGATAATTTAGCCATTTTTTTATTAATAATAATTACAATAACAATATTATGATTTGAACTTAAAATTTTGTACATAATTGATGAATCCTAATGATTTATTATAAACATTATTTGGTAATTATTTTAAAAAAATTGATCATAAAAAATTGAAAAAAGACATCAACGTAATTCCATGGGAACGAATTTGTAAAAAAATTAACATATTGGAAAACTTGTATTAAATCTTCGAAGATTTCTATAAATTAAACTTTGATATCAAAGGTTGTTTAGTCATATTTCCTCTTACGCTTTGTTTGATTCCATGAATTTGCAAAGGAAGGAATGAGGGGAAACCAAAAGCATTTTTCTATAAAAATTATTCTGCTAGTACTACGATATAGTATAATAAATAGATAAAGTAGGATTTTTTCTGATCCATAAATTATATTAGTCATCCCAAATCTGATGAAAAGGGGAAGAAGAATAAGTTTAAACTTTTTGCACAGATTACAAAACTAGAAAAAAGAGCACAAATCACAAAGTTCATTATCGTACAACATTTTAATATTCAAATAATGAAATTATCAATAAAATATAATTTGTAAATCTAAAAAATATAGTACTATGACTATCATTTATCTTTCTTTCTTTCTTTTCATTTTATTTTTCTTACCAAACAAAATGAAAAGTTATATTATTACTTTTATTCCTTTTCATTACTTTTCTTTTCTTATATTTTCATATTTAAACTAAAGACACTATTCATTTTATTTTTAATAAAAACAAATGCAAGATTCAATAAGATAGATAATTTATTATTATTATTATTATGAAATATTAAGGTTTGATAAATACTAAATAGATGAATAACTTTTTTCAATTTAAATTTTTACATTTGGAAAAGGAGAAGATTGAAGCGTGTAGTGTCGTCAAAGTTGTTCACTCAAAAAGTTAAGAAAAGGAGTCCTCACATTTTTGAACAAAAGCACATAATAATAATAATCAAAAGAAAAAATGAATTTACAAACGCGTCTGAATTGGTGAACAGGAATTGGAATGGAAGAAAGTGGGAAGTAACATGGTAATTAAGATGCAAGTTCCTTGAAGAAGCAGAGGTAGAAGATTGGTGGAAAAATAAAAAAATGTTAACTGTGTTGAAGTCAAAGAAGGTGGACCCGAAGAAGATACGCTCAACAACGTTGCTATTAATAAGAAAAATGAGATTTTGACAGGAGAAGCGACAAGTGCAGGTGGGATAATCCTCTCTGCTTCCTTTCCATAAACAACAAACAAGATCTCAAAGATTTTGATCCTCTCAATCTCCCTTTCACATCATTATAAACCATTTCTCTCTTCCCTTTTTTCTCCCATTTTTCTCACACCCCTTTTGCTTTCTACATTCAATTGAGGGAACATGGCTGCCGCCGCTGATCTTCTCATGCCGGAAATGGGTGCCGGAAAGTTGCACGTGCTCGCCGTTGATGACAGCCACGTCGACCGCAAGGTCATTGAACGCTTGCTAAAAATCTCGTCTTGCAAAGGTATGTAACTAAAGGTGGAAAATTTTGGTGTTTTCTCTTGCACCTGGATCGGGTTTTGATGGTTTTTGGAAATGGGTTTTTGGTTTTGGCAGTGACGGTGGTGGAGAGTGGGAGCATGGCTCTGCGGTATTTGGGGTTGGATGGGGATGAGAGCTCCATTGGTTTTGATGTAAGCAAATTTGCCTTTTGGGTTGTTTAGTAATTTGGGGTTTTTACTTGGCACTTGGAAGTGATGCTTATGTTGTTGTATGATTACTGTGGTGGCAGGGTGTGAAGGTTAATTTGATTATGACAGACTATTCTATGCCGGGGATGACTGGATATGAATTACTCAAGAAGATAAAGGTGAGAAATCAGATTTTTTATTTTTTATTTTAAATTTAATTTGTTGTGGTAGATGAATGGAAGAGAGAAGGGAGAATTGTTAGTGTTTTGCTGATTTAATAGTAGTGGGTTTTCCCCCTTTTTTCCTTGATTTTTAATTTTTTTTCTTCTGTTAATCTCTGCAGGAGTCGTCTGTATTTAGAGAGATTCCAGTGGTGGTTATGTCTTCTGAGAATATCTTGACCCGAATTGATAGGTAAGCTCTTGGTTAGAATTGTTAGTGTTTTACTGTTTGGTTCTTGTGTGGTTTTAGGAAGCTGGATACCTTTGATTTTCTGGCTGAATTGTTTGACAAAAATTCTGGATTTATGTGGGGATGTTTACTAGTTTTCGGATGATGTTTGTTGATTTGCCTTTGCTAATGCTTTGATGAGCTAAAGCATCAGATAATTGGGGAGTGTCACATTGCTGCATCTGTAGTCCTTGTGTTTTTTGGACATGAATCCCATCTAAACTTGAATTGCATTAGGGAAAAAGCAAGAATATATTTTTTTTGTTGATATGATTAGATCCCCCTTGATTTGGTCACATGGGTAGATTGCACTGTTTCTTGGCCATGTGAATAAGGGGATAAAGGAGATTAGATATTTGATGATTTTATTAAAAGGATCACTCACTGTGAATAATAATATTCCTGAGATTTTAGTTAGTTAGTTCAATGGCATCATGTGATCCATGTAGCTGACCTCACATAGTGGGATAAGAATATTGTTGATGTTAATGTAATAGATCCCTAACAATTCCCATTCTAGGTTGGTTCTAGTAAAATTCATCTCCTATTATGAATTAATCAACTAATAATCTCATCACGTTAGTCACATCAAGCGTTTTGGGAACATGCTGTTTCTGACTTGCGTTTGTGGCTACAATGGTTGGCATGGTAGCAATTATTGTCACTATGTTATAATAATAATAATTGACACGTAATTATGCATCTTATCAATAACTTATGCTACAATGCTTTCATAAATACCTGGAATTATTGGAAAACACCTCAGTGTTACAATGGAATATGACTATATAGTTTGTTAATGATCAGTTTAACATTTGAACAAAGTTGTATGCCACAATCTTTACTCTCAAATTTGATGATTATTTTGACTTGTAAACTCAGTTATTCATCGTTTACTTTTACTGATTGGCAGTTGCTTGGAGGAGGGAGCAGAGGAATTTCTGCTGAAACCTGTCAAGTTGTCAGATGTAAAACGCGTAACAGATTTCATCATGAGAGGTGAAGGAAAGAATGGAATAAGAAGATCTCTGAAAAGAAGCCGATCAGATGATCACACTCCATCTCTAACAGCTGCATTCTCATCAGTTTCTCATCCATGCGATCTATCATCGTCTCCATCACCACCTGTATCGCACTCGAAGAAATCTAGATTGATCATAGATTGAGCAGTGCTGTTCATGTCTCCTCCATTTTTGCCAAAACATTGTTCATATCCAAAAACCTCTGCTGTGATTCACCTTCTTATACTACACATCGCTGACAATGAGTATTAGGATTAGGAGTGAGGAAGAGGATGACAGAATCATTTTGTTAGTTTGGCCGCTCACATCTTTTTTTTTTATTACTGATTTTGCTGTTGTACAAAGAAAGTTCAATGAAATTAATGAAACCCTCTATTTTGAGGGGTCTTACTTCAAAATTTTGTTTTCCTTCTGTCTCCTAATAAGCATTCCAATTTTGAATACAAATTTGTTTTCAACTTTGTCATGTGAATAAGAAACACCATCTACTGGTTTGAACATTGAAGTACATGATTTGTCTCTCTCAATTCTAGCTTTAATCAGATTACTTTCTGAATTCCATGAGAGCACCACTAAATCATCAGACAATGCATTTACACCCCTTCCCCAAAAAGTGTACTGGCAGTACAGCAAAAACATGGAACAATCAGCAAGTTTACTTGAAATTGTCTAAAGTCACGAAAATGAAGGTTCTTCATAATTTTGTACACATGCATGACATGCAATTATGTAACTAACAGCATCCAGCGTGTATTATGCAAGATGGGTCCTTAATTGTTTATTAATAATTGATGATCACTAAAAAAAAAGAGGTGCACATAATTTTTTTTAATAAAAAAATAGTTTAAGTGATAGCCAAAACAGGTTGTTATAAATCAAAGAGAACATTATACCCTGATATGTAGATATATTAATAAACGTTGCTTTATTTTAAGGTGAGAGAACATTTTCTTTTAAGATACTAATGCAGAGGAGTTAATAGGATGGTTAGGCCTTTTCTTTTTAGACGTGCTTGTAAGGTTACTTCTCAATTCTCTATAGAAATTCTCAATTAAATCAACTACAGTTGTTCACCACAAATCCCGTTTCTGTTGAAACATCCCAAGGTATCTCAGAATGAACCTAAAAATCCAAAAACAGTGCCATCCCTGTTGAGTGAACATGGTCAAACTATTTTTCTTTTCTCCACAATCATCTGCAGAAATGAAGGAACAATAAAGATCATATTATAATCCAAGAAGTTCCTGTTACCACCCACAATAGGGGTAATTCTAATGTATTTTAGTTGTCATCAAGCCCCAAAAATTTTGCATTGATAACAAGGTTCACACTTCCCTTAGGCTTAAGGTCAAGAATTTTAATTCTTATACTTTTTTGTTCTGCACTGAGATATCTTTCGACTATTAGTCGGAGACTAATTTCTTTCAACGACAAAAATGAGTTTTACATATTATTCTAACAAAGTTTATTCTATGCAATGTATGCTCATGTAATCAAACTCCTGTCAATGTGTATGAATCAAACTCCTGTCAATGTGTATGAATCAAACTCCTGTCAATGTGTATGAATCAAACTCCTGTCAATGTGTATGAATCAAACTCCTGTCAATGTGTATGAATCAAACTCCTGTGAACATGCTTAGAGAATTAAATGAATTATCTACTAACGTGAAGTTATGGTGTGTTCCTTTAATGATGCCGTGCGGCAGGTAGCATGTGAGTCCAAAATCATAATCTTCTCAATGAGAATTTAAGTATCCAACATGATTCTCGTAAGATGAGACCTTAACTACGTTGCATCTACCAAAGAGAGAATACGACAATACCCCTTAAACAAGATGTGCATTTTCCTAACGATTTGAAGGCATGACGACCAACCATAGGTTATACAATAAATAAGCAGCATTCGACCCCTTCAAGCTAAAATTCCGACAACCACCTTTCCCAAGGGCAACAGCTGGAGCAAGATTGAGCCCTCACAAGTTACCCTCTTGAGAGACGGCAAGCACAACACAACATAGGATAGGAACATTAATTATATCTAATTAACTATTGCAATCAAACTTAGAGGTGGGACGGCACAACCATTATATCTACCGTCAAAAGAGGGAGCATTTATCAATTATCACTGCCCATCATTTTTTTTTTATATAAAAAAAATGAACCAATGGCTTATATATAATTATCAAATCGCAAGTTATAGCCTGGTAATTACTTAGGCCATTCTCTATTACTTTACATTTATTATCTAGATGAACAATTTTTTTTAGGCCATTCTCTATTACTTTACATTTATTATCTAGATGAACATTTTTTTTAAATACTCTCAATTATCAGCTAGTTTTTTTATAGCTTCGAATTAGCTTATATTCCTTAATTTTGTCAAACACTCCCTAAATGAATTTTTTAGCTCAACTCATTCTGTCCCTTTTTTGTTTCATCTAAGCTAACCATCTAAATTTTGGCCGACTTATGTATAATTTCATTGGTCATCAATTTGGAATTGTCCTTTGTGGCCAATTTAAGCTCGTACTGACATGGCACCAATGACAACTACCTCATTGAAAATATCAACAACCGTGGCCAAGAACATTGAAAACATACTATACTAGTGTTATTTTGAGACTACCATTTTATTTTTCTTCTCATCTTACTATTCTTCTATTTTGTTCTCCTTTGTTCTTTTCTTTGTTCTTTCAACCAGATCATTCATGCCTGTGATCAGTTGCAAAACACAAACAAAAATTTGAGTCCTCAAATTCCCATCCCAAAATATATCAATGTCATCCCCTAGTAATGCAATTGCAAAGGCTGTGGCTGCTACAGCTGGGGCAATGTTACTCATTGCTGCAGTTTTTGTTTACTTTTTTTACAAATATGTTCTTGCTAGATACCACCAGAGACACAAAGTTGGAGCAAGTTTGCTTCGAGAATCAGGGGTGAACCTTGAGTATATAAACAAAGTTGGAGGCAATGTGAAGGGGTTAATAGTTGAAGAAAATGGTGTTGATGTACTTTATGTGATGGACACAGAAAGAAGACCTTTGATAACTGGATTCACAAATAGTATATTCAATCCAAGTTATGAAGATGATGGAGAAGAGAAGAGAATTGATATAATGGTCCAAAGGTCCAAAGTATCCGAGCCTCAGATTCCACCAGCATGTGAATCTCCAAGCTTGGTTGGTCAAGAGAATCAAGTTAAGCCAGTGTCACAAATATCATCAGTTTCTACATCACTAACACCAAGACAAAATTTGCAACAATCACCTCAGCTAGCACCTCCACTTCAACCAATACCACAATCTTCACCAATGATTATTGAGAAAAAGGAAACTCAAACACCACCGCCACCACCTCCTCCTCCTCCAACTCGTCCTCCACCTCCACCACCTGGTCCACCTCCACTTCCAAGGGCCAGTGGCTTCATTTCGTCACTGAAACCACCACCTGCTCCTAGAGGGAAAGCAAATATGAAAAACACTAAAGAGGGTGTGGTAGGAGAGAGTTCAAGAGAGAAGGGTGTTGGCCAAACAAAGCTGAAGCCTCTACACTGGGATAAGGTTGCTGCAAACGTTGATCATTCAACAGTGTGGGATCAGATCAATGATGGATCTTTCCGGTATATTTTCATATTATTGTTAATTAGTTTAACTATTCACTTGATCCTCACAGTTGTTCCAATTTAAGTTTTAGTTCTTTATGAGAAAATTGTTAGTTTTAGTCCTTATCACACGTGTATATAAATTAAGTTTTAGCCCTCGAGTTAATATTAGAGAAAACTTTGTGAACTAAAATTTGTAAATATTTGATCTCTGATTTGAACATAGAGTCACAAGTACGATTTTACTCTTATAGAGACTGATTTGGTAGGAAGGAATTATATCTTCTTACTAAACCAAAAACCAAAAAAGAGAAAACTTTATGATAGTGTAAAGTCCTATAAAAACTTTCTGTAATAAACTGATACTTTTATAGGGACTAAAACTTAAAATGAGGACAACTATAGGATTAAATGGGTAGTTTAAGCTTGTTAATTTGACTAGTAACTGTTTTCGTAGCACTGCATTTTCAACTTACACAAGAAGTTTCTTCCTCCATTTACAGGTTTGATGATGAACTAATGGAAACACTCTTTGGATATTCAAACAGCAACAAAACCCAAGAAAGAAACAGAACTCTTTCCTCTTTGGCCAAGTCCAATCCCAACCAACCAGCTCAAATATTCATTCTTGAGCCAAGAAAATCTCAAAACACTGCAATTGTGCTAAGATCACTTGCCATTTCTCGCAAGGGAATCTTGGATGCACTACTTGATGGTCAGGGACTCAGTGTTGAGACACTTGAAAGACTCACTAAAATAGCTCCCACCCAAGAAGAGGAAGCCAAAATCATCCAATTCAGTGGCAACCCTGATCAGCTTGCTGATGCTGAGTCTTTCCTATACCACATTCTCAAAGCAGTTCCAACAGCATTCAACCGTTTGAAAGCAATGCTTTTCAGGTCGAGTTATGATTGTGAGGTTCTTCAGCTCAAGGAACAGCTACAAACACTTGAAAGGGGTTGCAAGGAACTAAGAACTAGCGGCCTGTTTTTGAAGCTCCTTGAGGCCATTCTGAAAGCTGGGAACAGGATGAATGCTGGAACTTCAAGAGGCAATGCACAAGGTTTCAATCTGAGTGCTCTTAGAAAACTTTCTGATGTGAAAAGCACAGATGGCAAGACCAGTTTGCTTCACTTCATAGTGGAACAAGTGGTTCAGTCAGAAGGAAAAAGACAAGCTATGTATCAAAAGCACAACCATCACTTAAGAAATGGTGAAGCAAGCAATGTGAATGTGAATAGACCTTATTCATATAGCATGGTGCAACAAGAGGCAGATAAAGAACATGCAATGCTTGGTTTGCAAGTGTTAGGTGGGCTAAGTGATGAGTTATCTGAAGCAAAGAAAGCAGCTAGCATTGAGTATCACAATTTCATCACTATGTATTCTTCTCTCAATGCTCATGTAAGTGAAATTAGACAGATTATAACATGCTGTGGCAACACTAGGAGTGGTGGATTTATCCACGAAATGAAAGGGTTCCTAGAGGAATGTGAAGGAGAAGTTGAGGTGGTGAAAGAGGAGCAAACAAGGATCATGGAGCTTGTGAAAAAAACAAACGAGTTCTACCTAGCAGGTGCATCAAAAGACAATATGACAAACCCCTTTCAACTGTTTGTGATTGTAAAAAATTTTGCTGACATGGTAGATCAGGCTTGCATAGAACTGAAAAGGAAGGTAGAAAAGAAGAATGTGGGAGGAGAGGCTGTGTCAACAACACCACCTTTATCACCTTCAAGGAGGACGCAACTCAGATTCCCTAACTTTGATTTGTATTTTCTGTCAAATGTGTCAGAAACTACATCTTCTAGCCAATCAGAAGATGATTTCTGAATATGGGTGTTGAATTTATATCAATTTGGTTCAGCAAAATGTTCACTGGTGTTCCCTCATTGATCTTATAGATTTGGCACGTAGAATCTATAACTTTTGACGAATTTCAAAGGTGTACAAAAGATATGATGACTATATGATTATACTTTAATAAGCTTGTTAGAATGGTGATTTGGCTTAGTTGAAATTAAGGGGTGTTAGTTTGTGCCAGAAAGTTGCTGAAATCATGAAAATTTAAAATAAAACGATCAATTTCATAATGTTAAATATTTTATATTGCTTATATATTTTCATTCTCTTGGCAGGAACATAATATAAAAGAAATTTGCCAAGTTACAGGTCAAGCTGTCCTGTAGTAATAATTGAACGGAAAGTTAGACGTAACTATATGTGACTTGATGATTGAAATATGGCCTATTGCTGTTCAAATAATAATGTTGTTAAATGCTTTGGTAGATTAGATTATTAATTAATGGGTCAAGACTGAAGACAAGCTTATCCAACCAACAACCATTGAATTTATCATCGCGAACGGTTCCGCAAAGCTCCCAAATTTATAAGAAACAAACAGAAAAATTCAGAGAGGAAAAAAAAAAAAAAAGCTCACATGAAACTCCTCGAATTTTGATCAACGAAAAAAATACAAACTAACAGACTTTTTTACCTACCCTCTACGTAATATACCTTGTTTTATTAGATAATTTTTATTGGTCTTATTTTCTTAAAATTTTTTATTTTATTGAAAATCATATAGTAAAATACACTCCTATTTAATACATTTTTTTTATATCGTGGATCAAAATTCATTAAAACCTACAATAAAACTTGTAAGAGAAATTATGTCTTAAGAAGTGTGTTTGATAAGCCACTAGGATCAATTTCCTCAAACTAATTATGAGATTTAGGCTAGATTGCATGAAGTCGGAAGTTTCATTACATTGCCACTTCTATATATATATAAAATATTTATAAAGAAAAAAGTAATACATAATCCGAAGCCACTACATATGCGGGACCCCATATCATATGACAAAGTGTTTGATAGCATGTCCATAAATATTCAACGTGACAAAAATACTGACAAAAAAGTTAAGCTGAAAAGTAAGAAGTGGTCACTGCCATCACCCCACGATAAAGTCTGCTACATGAGTTTCCGGGCAAGTGTGATGAGCAACTATTTATTTGTAGAGAGTGTTTGTCCTCTTTCTAACACTTCTTTTTACCCAAATTTATTAAAAATTATAATTTTTTTTTTTATCGATCTGCCATCTTATTTATTAAGTTTCTTCTGACTTAAAAATAAAGTTTTTAAAAATTGTAATTTTTTTAATAATAAAGAGAGTGTGAACAAGAAAATGCTAGAATGAGTGTGATGGCATTTCTTTGTTCCTTCTAGGTTTCACCAACTATACACATGTTGAACACGGATTGGTGAGGCTCGCATATCATTGGACGGTGGAGATTTAAGTCAACGTCAACGGTGGTCTTTTATCAGACATGTATATATAAATGATAAATCAGACAAGCATATAAACTTGTGAGAAACTAAACATTCATCAAACGAAACCTACTCCTCTTAGATATAATAGAAGCACGAGGGGGATTGAAGAGAATAGAGATGATGAGAAGAGAATTTATTGAGAAGGCTTGTGTTGTGTCTTTGAAGGCTCACAAGTCACCAGATAAGCCTTACCTTGTTGAAAAGATCAGCAGAAGCGAAGTTATCATCTGCTTTCCAGGATCAGATGCTGTCAGGGATTGGTATTCTCAGACAAACTTTGGTCAAACCAAAATCAATCTCGATCTCTTTCCCCCCCTCAGAAGCATTGGTAATGATGAACCAGCTTTGGTCAATGAAGCCTTTCTAAAAAGATTCCAAGCTATTTTGCTCAAACCAGCACTTCCAGCTGAGGTATGTATTTCTCCTTCTCTTTCAAAACTTTGGTTCTTCAAGATTTAGTTGTGTCTCTTGCCTGCCAGTGATTTAGCCTTTGATGAGATAGTGTTCTTTTGATATAAATGTTTCGAAGTAGTATTAAATTTTACTATAAATAAGAGTGGGATTGGACTAAAATGCATAATTACATTTTGAAATTCTAAAATAATTAAAGTTTTGAAAAAGTGATAAAGTGATCCGAATTTAAGATAGGAGGGAATATATCACAAGCAACTTTTTATCAGTTAATGATTAGCTTACTTAGAAAATTAGCCCTTGATTTTCAATTTTGGACAACTGCGTGTAGTATTAAAAAAAAAATTATGTAGAAGATCACTTTTAGTTTTTCTTTCCTTTTTAGACTCTGCTAGTGTCATAAATAATCTGGATTTCTAAGTAAAGTAACTGAAACTGATTTGTCAACTGTTACTTCCCTTGAATGAAGGAAACAAAAATGATAAATATTAATAACACCAGGTGTGACAGTTTTATTGGTAACTCACTTTTGTTCCAATGCATTACTAGTTCATGTATATATATGGTCATGCACAACTTGATTGGTCAAACTTCCAATTCTTCACTTTTCTTACATCACATAACATTAAATTTTTGCAGGTGAAGAAAGCATTGAGTAAAAATAAGCAAATAGTGTTCGCAGGACACTCCTCTGGTGCTCCAGTGGCCATTCTAGCAACCCTTTGGGCCTTGGAAAACTACCAAACTCCAAAAAACCAATTTGGTATCCCTCCTAAATGTGTAACATTTGGTTCTCCCTTAGTTGGGAATCACATATTTTCCCATGCCACAAGACGAGAAAATTGGTCACACTACTTCTTTCATTATGTGATGAGATATGACATAGTGCCACGAATCCTCCTTGCACCCAAATCCAATTCTCTCATCAGTGAACCAATTTCACAGTCCTTCAACCCCAAATCCAAAGATTTCATGAGTGAATCAGTTGGAAGAACCAATGCAAAGGCAACATCAGATTTCTACGTTGCCATAATGTCAAATGCTGCAACTGTCACAAACTATGCTGCTAGCAAGTTAATGGGCAGCACAGACACCACACTGCAAACTCTGGCAAATTTTATTCCCTTAAGCCCTTATAGACCCTTTGGTACTTACATTTTCTGCACTGGAAATGGAAAGTTAGGAAAGCAAATTGTGATAAATAATCCAGAAGCAGTTCTGCAGGTACTGTTTTTCTCTGCTCAATTAAGCACCGAAGAAACAGAAGCTGCTCAAATTCCCTTTAGAAGCCTACGAGATCATGCGATTTATAGCACCGAACTTCAACAAATGGGAACGCAGAGTGTTGTGAACTTGGATCAACTCGACAAGATTCCTTTGTCTGAAGATGCTGCAGGTGGCTCTGTTTCAACCTTTAACGTAGCCTTAAATGACCTTGGCCTGGTAAGTAACATTTATTCTGCATTATGTTAATTATTAGAATACTATAATTATGTACTAGGTAGTAGACCTTAAGCAACTGTAGGAAAATAATTAATCTCCTATTCTAGTAAAATCATGATAAAATTCTAACTGTATAGTTCTTGACCATCAAAATTGTTTTTGCAACTTTTGAACATTGATACATCAATCATTACATGAAAAAAATGTCATAAACTAACCAAAAAGTTAATCATTAAGACGTCGGTATAGTTTTTGTTGGATAATCTTAAATTTCTAGAGATATCCGAGATCGCAATTTGTGACGGCCTAAAAAGTCGTCGCAATTTGTGAGGGAACACATTCCTCACAAACTGTGAGGGATTCAAAATCCGTCACAAATTGTGAGGGATTCAAAATCCGTCACAAAATCCTAATTTTTTATTTTTACGAATTTTTAAATAAAAAATAATTAAATTATTTCAGATTTATTAATTATACAATATATATTATTTTCACTTTTTTTTTCTAATCTACAAGTATTAATTATTAATTTTCAGATAATTGACAGTGGTAAGATTCGAACCCCTTACCTTCTACTCATTCTAACCTTAACACTCCTTCTCCAGCCATCTGAGCTACCTTATCAGTTCAGTACTTATTTAACAATATATATATAAATATGAAAGAATATCAATTTTTATCACAATAATATCAAACATCATTAAACATCAAACTAATAAATTTAAAATAGATTCATAATTAAAATCATAATATAATTTATTTTAGAATTTTTATTTTATTAAATTAATTGAAAATTAATT